CCAAAAGGTGAGAGGAAGAAGCTTGAAATCGAGGTATGAAGGCTAGGGTTTCAAGTCTCCAATGGTGGCTTAGGTGAGAGGTGAGGAAGACAAAGTTATTTTCTAGAAATTCCACTAACTAAAATGAATTGTTAGGCACAAATACTATACTAACACTACCTCTCTCTCTCTCACACACACATCACACCCATCCACTTGTCATGATCCTAGGCCTCCTCACAAGGTTGAATCTCCACCCTACACATGTCATGATCCTAAGCTTCCAAGTGTTCCAACCAAAAGTTAACAAGTGGACCAACGAAAAGGTGACGCTTGTCACACTTTTTAAAAAATTGCAAAATGGTCCCTCTTCTAAATTTCTTACAAGAATAATTGCAAAAGGTCTCTAAGACAAAATATCTCAAAAAGTTAATTACACAAAGAACCTCGAAAAATAAAAATGTTTCCGAAAAAACTGTGCATTCGTACCCCTAGGAAATGAAATAAAACAAGCATGTTTTTCTACACAATTAATTTAGGCATTAACAATAAATTAAATAAAAGTGAATGCATGTGATGTCGGAAAACGCTTCCGAACACAAAACCATAAGGGAAAAAGAAAAGAAATGGACAAATAAATAAATAATCAATTAATTAATTAATTAATTAAAAAATGAATGTAGGAAAAAAAGGACAAAGATGACATGGTCATCACAATTTTGTTAACCAACCTTGAGAAGCTGCTATCCAATTTTACGAAAATTTGTACCTTTGCTTAAAGTCTAGCACAATATATTTGCCAATATAACATATTTCAACCGTAATCAATAGAAATTAATTTAAAAACCAAAACCTTTAAATCAGACGTACCACTTCTTGGTCACACAAAGAGGCATACATCTCCTATTTCGTGCTTAGGAACATTATTTTCAGTTTTTTTTCCCCTAATTGCTCTTCATTTTTAATTGAAGAGGAAGTAAAGCCAATTAATTCAATTTCCCGATGCAGATAATAATAATAATAATAATAATAATAATAATGATAATAAAAAGAAGAGTTTCACTTTCTTCTCAATAGCATGAGTCTAAAAAAATAATTTTCTCACAAGATGAAACTTTGGGCAGGAGAGAAATAAATTCAAGAAAATTTTAATGATAAAAAAATATTCAAAAAGTTGGCACCACTAATCTTCAATTCTTCATCCAAATCTAACCAAGAATATTTAAATATGTCAAGTGAAAAAGCGTAACGGTTAGAAGTTGGCCATTCAACTTCTTGAATGAAATATGAGAATATGGGCAACTCAAGGAGGTTGCTAAGAATATTAAAAAAAAAAATTAAAACTAATTAATTATCTTTCTTAAAAACCCTTTTACTTTTTTTTTTTAATAATATATTGTGGATTAGGGTTTAGAATTTTTGCAACAAAATGGGTTGTTTTTAAAGTAGTTAAATATACACTTTTATATGAAAATATTGTTAGTAAAAATACATTTAAGGTAAACTATTTAGTGAAAAATATTTATATTTTAAAAGATATGAAAAATTATTAGAAATAGAGAATTTTGCTCACACTTTTGGAATAGTGTGTGTGTATATATCTATATATATATATATATATGGTACGTTTTTTTTTAATATATATATATATATATATATATATTGCCTTCGTGTATTTGGCTCTAATGGTGCGTTCTTTTTTTTTCTTTTTTTTTTGGGAATATATCCTTACCTAGTTACACTTGTAGAATAGTATATATATATACACACACACACACACATATTGGTACCCTTTTTTTTGGAATATTTTATGTTTCTTTTTGGCTTCCTATATTTGGCTGTAATGGTAGTTCTCGTTTTTTACTTTTTCTTTTTGTTTGAAATATATTGTAGATTAGACTTGGAATTATTGAAAAGGAATGGGATGTTTTTAAAAACGTATGAATCAGGTATGTAATCTAAAGTGATTTAAAGAGATGTTATTAGATTTTTGGTATGAATGTGATTTAACGAGACTTTATTATATTTTTTATATTTTAAAAAAATAAAAAATATTAAGAAATGAGAGAAGAGGCTTACACTTTTAGAGTATTATAGATATGTATATTTGTATAAATTTGTAGATGCCTCGATAACCTAGTGGGTTAGTGCCTCCAGAAAATTTTGAAGTTTCAGGCATTGGCTCTCTGTATCTACTAATCTAATTTCAAACCGTTTTTGTCTTGTGAAAAAAAATATTTGTGTAAGATTGTTTTAGGTTTCTTTTAATAATATATTGTGGATTAGGCTTTAGAATTTTTGAAAAGGAATGGGTTGTTTTAAACTAGTTAAATATACATTTTATATGAAAATATTGTTAGTAAAAAAACATTTAAGGTAAATTATTTAGTAAAAAATATTTTTATTTTAAAAAATATTTAAAATTATTAGAAATAGAGAATTTTCCTTATACTTTTGGAATAGTTTGTATATATATCTATATATATATATATAAGGTACGTTTTTTTTAATATATATATTTTTTTGCTTCGTGTATTTGGCTCTAATGGTGCGCACTTTTTCCCTTTTTTTTTTTTTTTTGGAATATATCTTTACACTTTTAGAATTGTGTGTATATATATATATACACACACACACACATATATGGTACCTTTTTTTTGGAATATTTTAATTTTCTTTTTTGCTTCGTGTATTCAGCTGTAATGGTTCGTTCTCTTCTTCTTCTATTTTTTTGGAATATATTGTGGATTAGACTTGGAATTTTTGACAAAGGAAAGGAATGTTTTCAAAAACGTATGAATCATTATGTGTTTTGATGAGGTATGTATTCGTGATTTAATGAGATGTTATTAGATCTTTGGTATGAATGTGATTTAACGAGACTTTACTAGATTTTTTATATTTAAAAAAAAAATAAAAAATATTAATAAATGAGAGAAGAGGCTTACACTTTTAGAGTATTAATTATAGATATATATATTTGTATAAGTTTGCATATGCCTATATAGCCCAGTGAGTTAGTGTCATTTTGGAGTTTGTCTTGTAAAAAAAAAAATTGTTTTAGGATTTTGGAGTTTGCCTTGTATAAGTTTGTTTTAGGGTTTCTTTTGGAATAATTTAAAAATAAAACTTTACTTAATAACAAATAAAAAGAAAAGGTTTTTTTATTTTATATTTAAAAGTAAATAAGGTAAATTTTATTTTTGTTCTATTAAAATTAAAAGCGCACAAAAATTTCTAAGATAAAATTGATGATTTCAAACAGAGAAAGAGAACAAATGTTATTTGCAAAAAAAAAAAAAAAAAAAAGAAGGAAAAAAAGATGAAAAACCTAGGTTGAACAGATTAGCCCATTCGACCCGAAATATTCAGGTTGGAATATTGTCATAGGACTGGCCCGACTCAACCCGACTTCAATTAAAGTCGGATTGGAACCGAACTGGGTTGGGACTGCCTAACTTCTACCCCTATATATCACTATAATTAACCCTGAATGATCCAAGGTTTTAGATCCCTTAAGATCATATCTTGCTATAATTTATATAGTCTACAAATGGGGCCACATTATCCAAATATCTAATAATCTCTCACATCCTCGTAATGTTGGCTCACATGGTGAAAAAGTAGATAACCAAAATATAAAAACATCCAGTACCACGATACGATATCCAAAGTTTCAAACACATCTAACAAAAGCCAAATTCCACACTCCTCCAATCAAAGAACAATAACCTCTATATACAAACGAGTTTAAACATGTGTGGGAATTTGGAGATTAATTGATCTCCACATTCATAGCAAATTCCCTTTGATGGCTTCACGAATCCAAAAAAATTGCTTCAAAATCAAGTTTCATTACTCTGACTCTAGAAAGCATGGACACGATGGAGTATCATGTTCATGTCAAATGCTAACACTTCTCGGACACGTATCTGAAATTTCATATACTTGTCCATAAATAAAAGGGAAATTTAAATAAAAGTGAAATTTTATTATTTTGGATACTTAGCCGACACTTCGAGACACTTTGCACAACTCTCAATTCACATATGTTTAATAGCAAAAATCAAATCGGTAACAAACCCAATAATAATAAAAAAAAAATAGGCAATGAATATTTTTGTGAATAGGTAGTAATACTTGCAGCCCAATATAATATATATTAATTACAATAATATTATAAGTTTGTTCAGAAGTTTAGGTGTATGAGTTTCATGCCAAGATAAAAATAAAATAAAATAAACTATTTACAATCATGTGGACAAAAGTCTTTATGATTATTATTATTTTTAATTCTTGGTCAATTATTATGGGTAGTTTAGGATTTATAAGAGTTTATTGGCAAATAAAGATCACAAAGTTCTGAATAATCAAAAGGGCGTAGATATAGTGTCTCCCCTATGTCAATGATCATAATTGTCAAAATAACACATGTGAAGGTTAATTTTGTCCATTAAAGTGCTTTAAGAAGGTTAAAATCATAAATACATCATTCAAATAAGTTAATTCATAAGTCAAAGGGTAATAAAGTATTTTTATCTTGATTTGTGGTGTCATTGTTCAATTTAGCAAACTAAAAAAGAGTCATTGTTCAAAAAGTACCTAAATTGTATTTACCAGACTTTAACAACCCGAAAGTGTGAGTGCAATTTACCCAAATTGAAAATTGAATGTTTGCGCTACATACACTCTCGTTCTGCATAGATTCTTGAACTCTAACTGTGTATACAACACTAGCACAGTCTTCAAAAAAGAGGGGAGGGGTTCGAGTCCCGACGTGGACAAAAAAGTGTGTGTTTACTTTACAAACCTAAAAAAAACACTAGCACAATAATCATGTTAAATATTGCAACAATCATCAAAATGCACTTTCAACAGTCCAACTTTTCTTTGGTCACATTAGACTGGTTTTGAGTTTTTGTCCGCCAATTCCCAAGTAATGAAAACTTGTTATAATTTGTATATGGTAAATGCCACTCTTTCTCAATCCATACAAGTTTGATTAATCTAGAAGGCACAAGTTAGAAAAGATAAAGATTATTACCAACAAGAAGATAATACAACAATCACGATCTATACGAGTATTTAGGTCTCTGCTGTAAGTCATTTTTGTCAAAAAATATACAAAAGGTGTAAAGACCGTTTTCTTGTAGAGAATGGTGCACAAATTTGATGCACTATAGAATTGCACTTACACAGTGTTGGAAGAAAATAGAAGAATCGTACTCTAGAGATTTTATACAAACAATTAAATCATGTCAATAAACTCCCAATGGTCATCTCCAAGTAGCGATTTTCATACATGGTTGCGAGACTCTCAGGGTCATCGACAACTTGCAATCTTTCTAGGCAATAACCAGGCTCATGAAATCGTACTCTCTTCTGAATATCATCATCTTTGAGTTGTTGATCATACCGTTTATCATATTCTAAATCGACTTTCGGTTGTATAACTGAATATGCCATTCAATTGGCAACTTCGTTTCCCGTCGGATATACGAACTCTATTATATACTTGTTGAATAGGGCTAGCAAATCAAAAATATCCCTGCATAACAATAATTTTTACACAAAAGTGAAAACTTAAATTTAAATTTAAAGTATAAATAATTTTAAAGCATAAATAATTGAAATCTAACCTATAAAGTTGGGAATACTCCAGTGGTACATGCTTGTTACGCCTTAGCACTTCAATAACATTCTTATCAGAACCCTCCAATATTATATTCTCCACGTACGTGCCATGTTGCGACATGACAAATGCCAACTAATCATACTTCATTTCTAGAAGCTAGATTTGGAATAGAAATCAAATGCACTATTGTAACAAGTCCTAAATGATTTCGGAGGACTCCTCCCGCACTCCCTCTTATGGTACCATCAGTCTCTTTATTTACAAAAGACTTCAATATTCAGCTTGTACCATCCCTTGGGTGGAGCTATCCAAATTAAAACTACCACGGGGTTTTTCAGCGTTGACCTAATAGATTTGTCCAAAACGTGAATACATTCCTTAAGCATATTCAAATACATCGTACCTCTTTTGCCTTGAGGGACTCTACTGTGCATCCACATAAAGTCAATAACAGTAATGTATTAGTAATGTATTTGAATTGGGAAGGCTTAGCCAAATCAACATTACCATACTGCAACAACCCTTCTTTTCTTAAACTTTTGTTCAACCCTTGTTCATAGAACCAATTGTAAAATCTTGACGAAGTCTGCCATTTAATGATCAAACACAAATCGGGAATTATGCCAGGGCTAAAGAAAGAAAATCACAAAAAGATGTTGAACTTACAATTGCGTTGAAGTTTGGAAACATACATGTTCTGATGTAATGACCAAACACGGCGTGATGAACGATTCCTAAGGAGGCATAATATAAAAACATCATTCAAGGCAAAAATATAGCAACGAATATATAAAATATTTTAATCACATCAAGCCAAAATCTTCCTTGATTATTTTAAAGTATCAGGTACAAAAATAGGAATGTTATTAAAAATCCCTTGAAGAGGGAAGCTATTGCTAAACATGATAAAATATAATCAAACTAATTTAAATCTTTGACACCATTTCAAGCTGTGAACAATATGCTTCCATTATGTACTTGTGTCTTATTTTTCAGAACTAGCACCAAAACAAAATTTAGTATGGAATCTGTTTTCGGGAATGAAAGCAATAAATGACTGCAATTTGACCCTTGCAGCTGGGCATTAGTAATCTAGAGTATGGATGAGAAGTAATGTAACCCTTTTCTTTAGTACGTGATGTAATGTTATTCAAGATATCTTTAGCGATACAAAGTTACATTATATTCAGCGTGCAATAGAGAGGGAAAAGATAATTGATGGCACAAATGACCACCTCTTACTGTTTTGATGATAACAAACAAAGATAATAAGTACTTTTAACATATCTCCATTTGAGATGCAGTTAAGAAAGAGCACAAGCAAAAATAAAGAACAAAGGCATGGACTTATCAAAGAAGGGATGACAAATGGAAAGCCTCTTTTCCATCCACAAGGGTAGCTTAGAAATGGTGAGGGTAGATTAAATGTAAGGCAAATAAATTATAGCACTTTGGTTTAATGCTCAAAATGCATTTTATTCATCATACAAACTATGAACTTTTGTCACTTGAACTGACCGAACAGATGCTCAATATAACCGATCAAATAGCATTTTTGAAATGACAAACTGTATATGATGTGACCGATCACTTCAGCATATAACCGATCACTTAAATATGAAATAAATATGTCTTTTAAGTTTATTTTCTCTCTCCATAAATGTTGTGTCTTGAGAAAATTGAATTGATAAAAAGAAAAAAGAGTTCAAAACTGCACTTTATAGGGTGCTCCAAGGGACCATATTCCAGTAGCATGAAATAAATAAATAAATAAATAAAAATATATCCATTTTATCACTATTAAAATTAAATCATAATATGTCATAAGTATTAAAGACCATCTCATAATAAGAGCGTAATTTTTTTTACTTCAATTAAGATAGAAAACCTAAGAAGTAATAAAAGAAAAACAAAATCTTGAACCAAAGCAATATGATATTTTTCTAATACATCATGAGTCATAAACAACAAACTTACTATTTTCCGATTCCACTCGTTTCAGTGAGCTCTTTCCCTGGAGTAAACCTATATTAAAGGGACATAATTCAAACACCTCAGAAACTTTGTGGAGAGATGGAAACTGGACTTTAATAACAATCAGAAGTTTTTCTTTCATAAAAAGAGAATAGCAATAATAATAACAGAAACTATAAGAATATGAAATCAATAAACTTGAATCGAGTTCAAAATGATTAAAGGAAGTATTACATATCGGCAAAGACTTACAGATTTCAATTAGGAATCTACTAAAAAGAAGAAGAATAGGAGGAGTTAGCTACCTAATGATTGAGGAGGCATGACTCTTAGAGGCTCAGAACCGCCACCACCCTAACCGTAACAGTTAGACAGTGAAGAGAGATTCTCTTCTCCTCCTTGCCCCTGCACCCTCTTCCTTCTTTCTTCACCTTACACGAGGATTGAGGTTAGGGTTTTCCTTTCCATGCCCTGCGTTCCTTCCTTACTGCTTCACCTTAAATTTCAGATTAGCAAACTTAAATTTCAGATAGACGTCAAAGTTTGACTTTAAATAAATAAATAAATACTAAAAAAAAAAAAAAAGGTTTCAATGACTAACTAGTATATAACTGATGATATTAAAACTAAAAAACAGGAGCAGGATCCACAAGCACCTAACAATAATAGCATATGATATAAGGAACAATCAAAATGAGAACAAGAAAGGGCATTCAAAACACCAAAAATCAAGAGAAGCTGCAAAATCACAAACATATAAGAAAATAAGCCAGAGCCAAAATATATCAAATAGTTCAGAAAATGGGACAAAGCCCTCATTTTTAAGGCCACACACTAAAAAAATTAACAGAATTAGAAAAACCCAATGTTGCATAAAGATGGTGTTGAGAGAGCCCCAAATTTCAACCACACATGACAAAACAAGAAACCGAAATCCCAAAATTCAAACACCAAAAATAGAAACCCCAAATCTAACCTAAGCACCAGATAGATCGATTCACATCGATACGGGTTGAAACCACATTGCGTATTCAGATCAGCAACAAAAACAACACAAACCTAGAAATGGAGGCTAAGATTTCTTACAGCTTCCGCTTCCGAACTAAGAAAATCTCTATCTTTCCTCCTCCTCCTGAGTGAGACCACAACAGGGCCGGCCCTGAGATTCCAAATATTTTGAGAGGCCCTAGGCAAACTTTCAAATGTGATGCCTTGAGTTTCACACGCGCAAAAAAGAATTATAAGAGTGTGAAATTTTAACATGATGTTTTCAAATTCTATAGCTAATACAATTGTGCCCGTGTATTGTGCAAAAGACAACTAATAACTATAAATTTATCACCACCAACAAATAATTGTGCGCCTGTACATTGTCCATAAGACAACTAACTAATAAGTATAAATCTATCACCACCAATAAAAAATTGTGCGCATGTGTTGTGTGCTTAAAACAACTAACTAATAACTATAAATTTTTATTACCATCAATAAATAATTGTGCGCATGTGCAATGTGATAAGACAGCTAACTAATAACAATAAATTTGTCAATTAAAGAGTGCGAAATTTTCACAGGCACAAAATATAAAATGAAGAGAACAGTTTACTAGAGAACAGAAAACTGCAGCTTCTTTTACATTCATTGTTTATATAGCTACTAAAATTTAATGATTATAGATGACAAAAATATGTAGAGATGAGGTGACTATATATATATATATATATATCTATAGGAGGCTGAACTTGTAGTACTGAAGAAGTAGTGGGACTTTTAGGTTATATGTGGCCCCCACTATCATATATAGTGGAGGCCACATATATTAACTACACTACACTTTGTTGTGTGTTTTTTGGGAGCCAATAACCCGCAGTGATTGATTGATCATTGCTGTAGAAGACCTGTGCAAATTAATTGAAAAAACCATTAACTTTTGTTTTGTTAAAGCCTGCTCTTGATTTCCATGTGTTTGTCCATTCTGATGGCAAGTGCTTTGACAGTATTATTAACTGAAATTCTAGCAGAGCCAACTTCAAATAACATCAATAATGGTGGTATGTATTCATATAAAAATAAAAATACCCTTAATTTGGCACTTTTAATTATGAGCATAATTTAGAGATCGAAAAAGTTAATTATTACCTCAACCCACTAGAAGGGATCCTTAATTTTTGTGGGATTGAATGTGAAAATGCAAAAAATTATGAGGAAAAAGGGTATGGCTGCTGCAGTCGTGAGATTGGAGTGGACTTAGGAAAAAAAAAAAAAGTACCTGCCATAGATTATGGACTCGATCGCCATGAAAGACACGTGTAGAAAGGCACACATTTATTAAAATACTAAGAGAACCATAATATATTCATTCAGCTTTTGATAGCCATCACACACACAAAACCCTAGCTACTTTTCACTATTAGAAGGCCCGAATCAAACGAACCAAAGTTAGATCAATCAAATGATGAGATGAACGAAAGAAAGAAACATATATAAAAGATCGATTCATGCAAAAGGAGAGAGAAGAGAAGAAAAGAGAAGAGAGAGAGAGGGGATGAACATACCCTGTCACCTGAGGCGATAGCGGAGGCTGCGCCCTGCGGAGTGTCGAAGCAGATTGTGTCATCTGAAACTTGCCTTAACTTATTTTTATTTTATTATTTTTATTTTTTATCCATCCCCTATGGGCCTCAAAATGTGAGGCCCTCTAAAATCTGAGGCCCAAGGCGACCGCCTTGGTCGCCTTCGGCCAGCCCTGGGCTGGCCCTGGACCACAACATGAATCAACTTCCCTCTCTTCTCTCTCTCTCTCCCTATTCTCTTAAGGGCTAGCAGTGAATTTTGGCGCCATTGCACCAAGCTGAGCCTCTGCTTTAAATGGAAGAAGTAAAGGAGGATTGGATTGAAGTTAGGGTTTTCATATCCAACGGCTGAGATCGATTTTGTATGGCTCATGGGACAGAATTAATGCGTCAAAATTTTAAGTAAATGACCTGGCGAATAGAACACGTGTGAACTTGGGATAAAATTATGCCAATGGCCTAAAATTTAAATTAAGAATTTAAAGTATATAATTTTTTTTAACTAAAGAATTAAAAGTATTGTGTGGGCTTCTAGGTAGTTGTGATTCTTCACGAACTTAACACACCCAAGCTTAAAGGCTTTTTTATTGAATGACCCTTCAAATTTTTGTCTAAATTAACGGTCTCAAATCCAACTTTTAACCAGTTGTTAATTAATAACTTGGTTTGCTTGTATTCTTAATTAGGTTTAATATTACTCCGTAATATTAGACTATTTTTTGTAGGAAGAATGGAATGAAATGAAATGAAATGAAATGAAATGTTTTTTTTCCGCAAACATGAAATGATGCAGGAATGGCATTTGTTCCATTCCAATGCTTGATTAAAATATTTTGAAACCTATAGTGATTAGATATGAAATGATGTTGAAATGAATTCCAAATTGAGTTCTTCACAATACTTGTGTAGGTGCAAATAAATTAAACTAATAAAATAATATTTTTCTATATTATTATTATTATTATTTTTTTTAAATAAAAAAATAAAAAAAGAGAGATGTGTTGTTATTATTATTATTATTATTATTATTAGATTAGACCTTAACCACTTCTAGATTTTGCTAACAAAGTCTCATGAGATAAATTGGAACAATTTATAAATGGAGAGAGAGATACATAAGAAAGGAGATCGAAGTCGGGCTTAGACGGCCCATTTGGGCTCTCATTTGGGCCCATTAAGCCTTTGGGATATCTAGCCCATCCTGAAGTTGGTGGATAAACTCATTCTTGAAACTAATTTTGAAGTGAAAGAGGTTTTTGATAACAAGTTCTTTTATCAGTAAGAGATTGAAAATGAAAATGAAAATGAAAATGAAAATGAATTTCCCTCAATTTTAAAGCAACCAAAGAAAAATATGAGAAGGTGACTAGTAATATGTTATTAATTAAGAATAAGTTTGACGAAAATCATACAAATTGTAAATTAAAGTAAAATATGCATATTGTTGATTATATGATTTTAAATAGAAGGCTACTTCATTTTTCAAAAGAAAAATGATCTGAAACTGTAAAACATCATAATCTAATTAAAGTCTATTGTTCAGTAATTTTTTTATTCAAAAAATTACACACTACATATATCATACGCAAGTACAATAAGAAAACTTTAAAGTAGGAAAAAAGAGAAGAAAATTTTAAGAAAAATGAGAACTTTAAAAAGAAAAAAAACAAATAGAATTTGATTAAAGTCGAGAAATTTAACCTTTTTGAAGGAAATCAAAGAAATTTGAAAAGACAAAAAAATAAAAAAAATAAATAAATAAACTAACTAAGAAATGATTATAGAAATTAAAAGTTTTAGGGGTGGCATTATATTGAAAATTTCATATATATATATAAAAATTATAAAATAACTATACATAGTAGTGGGTGGGGTCAGGTTAGGGAGCATGTGTTTGAGGCACACTTGGATTCGCCCCTGACAGCACCACATTTATAATAAGCTGAATCGATCTTACCAGTAAAAAACATAAGTCAAATACTCACATAGATTTTACTAACAAATCATTGTAGTTGTAAACAAGTAAAAAACTACAAAGAAAAAAAGTTGAATCTCACTCTTATTTACCAGAAAAAAATAAAATAAAATAAAATATAATATAATATAATTAAAAATAATAATCATAAATCAAGGAGAAAAGAAATAAGAAAGAAAGTAACAAATGTATCCACGCACACAATGGCATAACCCATTAGTGCACTAGCAAACAACACTCACTCAGAAGTCACCTTCCACCTTCCCATACACATACACACACACACATATATATATCTGACGAGCCCCTTCCTATGTGTTTAGAAAATGGACTTTTTAATGCGAGAGGTCGCTTCGCAAGGTCAAAATATGATTGTGGTTTAGGAAGCCTTTCTAGTCAAATTTACATTTATAAAACCACTACCACAACTAATGAAGTATAGTGAGTAGGGATTGTCCACAAAGATTATACGTGTTGGAATTTAACTTCGACTCTAATGTATCACAAGATTGCAAAGAGATTTGGTGAGATGATTAAACTACTTCAATTAATGAAAATGAAATTAAAATAAAACTAAGTTGAGATAGGGATTTAAGAGATATGAAGAGAGGACTTAGGGTGTTGGAATCACCACCAAGTTCATGTAATTAACCACTTACTTTCCATTAATGGGGAATATATTATTACAATCTAGATGTGGCCATAAACATAAACACAATTTGCATGTAAAAGTGTAAACTATCTAATGCAAGAGTGAATTGTCTACCTAACGTAAGTAAACTAAGTGTAGAACAACCCACCAACACAAAGGCATAATTCATCAATTAGTTAACAAATGGGTCTAATGAGAGCATACATCAATCTAGAGAATCATGGAATTTGCAATAATAAGTGTGGAGTATCAAACCAAGAATAGATTGTCTATCTACCTACAAACATGAATTAAATTGTAGAACAACCCATCAAGCATAAGTATAATCCATTAAATTAATTGACAGACCCATTCAATGAAAACCATGCTTAGCCATCACTAAATCCTTAATTAATCACACATAAACATGCAACCAACATAGAGAATCTAGTGTAGAGATCAATTCCCAAATAATCACACATAAGATAGCATGTAATTAAAATTGAGAATCACTTGGAAGAATTGAAAAAACAATCACAAGGCTAACCACAAATCACAACAATATATATAAATTCCCAAAAAAAGAAATACAAGGGTTTAGATTACACAAGACTTAGGGCTCATCCAAGCCCTAAGTGTAGATCTAACTAATCATGGAGAAGGTAGAGTGGTCATGAAACCCTCAAGGGCAAGCTCCAAACATGGCTCCATCTTCTTCTTCCTCTTTTTCTTTTTCTTCTTTGAAGTTCAAGAGATAGGGAGTATGTGGATCTAGAGATGTGTTCTTGAGATGTGTCTCCACTTCCTTCTTTTCTTCTAACCCTAATTTTTAACTTTCTAGAGAGAGAAAACTAATGAAAATATAGAAATTACAATGTAAAATATGAATCTCTCAACAAAAATGGTTCAATCTCTCATATATACAAGGCTTTTAGAGCCTAAAAATGTGAGAACTCAGCCCTAGGATCTCCTTTTTCAAGCACAGCCCGAGTTGGTTCGAAATGAGCTTTAGATTTGCTTTTTAATAACTTTCGTGAATAGTTCGATCGATCCAACCAATAGTGTGATCGATTAGAGGTATGGTGTGATCGATCAGAGGTATGGTGTGATCGATCAGGGTTCGATTGATCCAACTTTTCTTCGATCGATCCAACTTGGCAGTTTTCAGCATCAGCCTCCTTTTTGCTCTAGATCAACCACCTTTTGCTCCAGATTCTCACCAAGAATTAGTTTGACTCCAAAAAGGCCTTAATGGACTGAAATTAGCCCGTTTTAACGTTATTGACCTGAAATAGACAAAAGCACAAATAAGTACTAAAACGGGAAAATAAGATAGATAAATGGACTAAAATACCCTCGGTTAGGTACTAAAATGTGTAACATTTGAGCACTCATCACACCCCCAAATTTAGATATTGCTGGTCCCTAACAATAAACTACGAAGTAAAGAAAGAAATGAACAACTAAACAACTACGAACTAGAAAGTAATAAATGGATAACGCCACTTTCGTAGGGAATACGATTGCATTTAGCACATGCAACAAGCCTTTTAAACCCCTAAGTTACCCTTAGTAGACGAGTGAAGTCTTGTGAGGGTTTCCAGAAATGATACCCACAAACATTAAGCTCATTCTCACTAAAAAGGCACCAATATTCCAAACAAGCATTGGGAGAAAATTACCTCAAGTATGCAATTTTTCAACCATTTCCAAGCAATCTCCCAAAATTTTAACATCAAGCAAACAAATATGATCTTCCACATATCAAGACAATGATCATGCAAATTAAAACAACTCTAAAATCATTTTTAAGTGAACCAGCATCAAATATGTTACTATCTAAGCCAACTAAAGAAATGATCACATCCGGTCTTAAGTTAGCACACAAATCTAGTACCGATCATCAAGACAAAGAATGAATCTTTTATTAAAACTTTATTGATCTAGGTATGCTTATTCTTTTCACTCGAATTCTTTTCTTTCTTTTTATTTTTTTTTATTTTTTATTTTTTTATTTTTTTTCTTAATCCTAAGGATCAAAGATGGAAGTATGGTGCAATGTGTTGATCTATTAAGCTTTCTAGCGATTCATGAGGTCGAGCGTTAGGTCAATGACTCCCAAACCGGACGACTTTAGGGCATTAGGTGTTTAAACACCCCTAAGGACTTACAAGCTCAAATCAACTAGGTTACAAATCAAAACAACCTACATCTAATCATTTCCCACTTCCCACCTTTTGGGAGAAGCCCTCACTTTTTTTATTTGCTTTTGCTACAACATTTTTTTTTTTTTTTTTTTTTTTTTTGATATAAGTTCAATTATTAACCTAGAGTTTGGGCCTTCCACCTTTCAGCACGAGAAATTCGGTGCTTGATGAGGTTAGAATCCTGGCTACTTAGTGAAAAGAGTTTATTTTCCATATTTATTAAGAATGAAAACTTTCAATGCACTACTAGCTCAATTGGGATATAATAAAATCAATAATCAACAAAGCATGTACCTCACAAATGAATGCTAGTGTGCGTCTGTGCTAGTGTAGAATTCTAGAGTGAATCTCAAAACAATCACAAAATCAAGACTATGTCGACCACAAGTGCAAGCAAGATATCAATCT